CTCTTCACCTGCCTTCATCTGTCACCTGACTCTGTTGAAATGTCAAGTCAGATCGTTCCTGTGCTCAAAACTGTCCAATCACTCTGTATCTCTCAGAAGGAGAGCTAAGCTCTTTATAGCTTTCATGGTATTGCAGGATCTGAGCCCCAGGCCTGCAGCCTCCTCGCCTGCCACTCCTTCTTGTTCTCCACTGCAGCCTCTATAGCCTTCTTTCCTTTGTGTACAGGGCACAACGCTGTGCTGCACTGACTGCCCCTCCCACCACCTGGTACATGCTTACACAGACCTCTGCTTGGCTAATTCTTTCCTTCCTTTCATCTCAGCAAGGTCTACCCTGACCAACCTTTCCAAAATTACATCCAGTTCTTCACCCTGAATTTCCGTAATGCACATCATTGTACTATACTATGTCATGTCTCTGAGCTGTTTGGATTAAGGCTTTCTGCTCCTACCGCCCCACCCCAATATAGCCTAAGTACTTAGAACAAACTATGCCTGGACCATCCCGGACTGAGCAGCAGAGCCATTTGTAGTCCAGAACACACAGTCAAAATGACTGGTGCAGACATGGACAGAGGAACTTGGGGAAGAGTATTGTGAGGTCAGAGAGAGAGGGAGGAGGCAGTGCAACAGTAATCAAGCTAAGTAATAAATGCATTCACTGCGTGATGAGCAGCAGCACAGTTCGTCCCCCCAGTGGGTAGAATGGCACAGTGACAGGAGACCCTCTGAAGAAATGCAACAGCTGTCTCAATGAGCTAGGGCCTCTGGTGGAACAAGTGGCAGCTAGGCCCTCTCCTGCTCCTGACTGACACCCCAAGGATAGCCTGTGGGTCTGCCCACTTTCACTGCCCTACTAGTAATGGAAGACTGCTGCCCATCAGAGACCCAACCTCCACAACTGGACAGGAACCCAGCCAAGTTGTGCAATCATTCAGCTGAAATGCTTACAGAAACAGATGGTGCCAGATACACGAGTAAAAGCAGTAAGACACAATATGGTGCTTGAGGGAGATATAATTTGAGCAAAGGAAGAGAAACAAGAGATACTGAAGACACAGCTGTAAGTTTAGTACAGGCATTATGATGGGGAACAAGTACAAAACCAAGAACTTGGAAATCAAGGCTAAATTGTCAACAGAAGGTACCATGAGCCACTGTTGGTTCTGAGCACGTGAACTGTGGTCTGAGAAGAAATGGACTATAAATACAAAATGTACACTGAATTTTGATGACTTCCTATGAAAAACAGAACATAAAATGTCTGAGTGATTTTATACTACTCATGTTGAAATGGTAATATTTTTTACACAGTGGATTTCACCTGTATCTTTTTTACTTTTATTAGTATGGTGCTAGAAAAAAATTAATTACATAAATAGCTCTACTGAATACTGCTAGTCTAAAATTTAAGGTTAAGAAAACTGCCAAGAATGTAAGAGAAAAAGACATAGACAATGAGAAAAGATCAGTGTCAAGAGGAAATAACCCAGAAGGTCAACAAGTAACCAGAAGGAAAAGACCAGGAAAGAGCAGAGAAAGGACAAAATTTGTTGTCAAAGCAACAAATTTTTTAAAATTTTAAGAGTTATAGATGAATCTACCAAACACTGAGCTGGGATAAGCATAAACATGTCAGGCCACACTTATGTGAAGAAAAAGAGTACCATGATTCATATAAACACTTAAGGGATTCTAGGAAGAGGAAAAAGATAAATACACACAGAGAGGTAAAGTTTACTGACAGTTACACTAAGACAACAAGTACACAAATCCTGAAATAGGAAAAGTAATGGTACGGCCACACAAGTCAGATGGCGAAGCAGGGACACATGCAGACCACTGAAGGTGGCTTGCCTAGAAAACTGAAGATAACTGCTGACAATTGGCAAGGAAAGCAGCGAGAATTCGATTTTCACAGTGGAGAGTCCACAGCTACTACCTATACCTTGACTAATTAAGACGTGGAAAAACTGAAAGAGACTGAGGTTAAAGACAAAAAACCACGTAGATGATTATAGCAGCACATGCGGCTGGCTTCTGCAGTCATAAGAGCACCAGAAGAGCGAGCTCACAGGACTTTGAGAGAAAGGAGCAAAGTGTACTTGAACAAATACAGTGAGTGATGGGTTCAGTGGCTCCACGATGAAATTTTCAAAGAAATGTTACAGAGAAGAAGGAGTGTGCATTACAGATGAAATTTTAAGAGCTTAAAACTGAAGTGTCTGTAGTGTATGCAAATAGATGTACTCCACAGTAGGAATTCTCACTGAGGATCCACTGTTAGGATTCAGGGAACATATGACATTGAAACAGCACAGAAATGTTTGCACACTAATATCCATTACCACAAGGACTAGGGGCTGGATGAGAAGGTGGTAGTCCATGGCTTTCACCAAAGGCTTAAACAGGTCAGTGACTACTCTATATAGAAATATAAATCTGGATCTCAAGAGATGACCACAGCTGGAGCTGTGGATTCTTAAGTGGTAAAGAAGACCACATTCACCAACTGTTATGGTTTGGATATGGTTTAATTGTGTTCCCAATAAAGGTTCATGTGTTGGAGGCACGGTCTTCAAGCTAGTGTGTCAGGAAACTGGATGGACCTTTAAGAGGTAAGGCCTAGGGGGAGGTTCAAGGTCAACTGGAGGTGTGCCCACCAGAAGGGACCGTGGGCCTCCAGTCTTTCTTTGGCTTCCTGGTCTGGTCATATGATCTAGTCCTCACATATGTGTTCCCACCATGGTATAACAGCCAAGAGGGTTTCACCAATGCTGAAGCCCAACATCATTGTCATGCCCTGGAACTCCAAAATGCTGAGCTACATAAATGTGTTTTCTTCATTAAGTTAGCTTGCTTCAGGTACTTTGTTAATAGGAATAAAAGGTGGACGAAAACACCAACTAATTCATCAGTTCTGCCAAGGGCATACCGTATAGAGAATAAAAAGTCCTATAGCTTTACATATGTGAAGATTCATGCAAGGAAAAAGAGTAGCACAGAAAAAGAGAGAACATAAGCACAGTCAACAATAAGACACTCTAGAACACCAAAAGGAAGACCCAAGAGGCCAATGTGAACCATGGGGAAAGTCAACCAGAAGTCAGTCATCAAGGCAAGCAGCATGACTGGCCGATTTGTAGAGACAAAGAGCAGATTTGACTAGAAAGGAAATGGGATGTGGTGCCACACATCTGCAATTCCAGCATTTAGCAGGTTCGGACAGGAGGATCTTGAGTTCAAGGCCAGCAACAACAATGGTAAAACAGTAGTAGGAAATGGATGGAGTAAAGAGAAGGAATGGGGATGAAAGACAGAGAGAGATGTCTTGTGGAGGCTTTATCTGAAAAAACAAGAGTGTATGCATGACTGGACAGAAAATAATTTTCAAAAATCACACCAATTTTTTCAGATATTTGAATTTTAGTCTTCAAAATGACTAAGTTTCATAAAGTCTTCAACTAAACAAATGAGCAGTATAAACAACATCCCCAATTTAAACTATTTTCAAACTCTTTACGAGTATCTACTTGGAAAAGGCAAATCCAGGTGAGCACTTGATAGAGAATTAATCTACATGAGGCTCGGGGTTTTCACAATTACTAGAAACTTACTGCATACTCATTTTTAACTGAGGTTCCCACCCTCTGTGTGGTAGACACCTGCGTGACTAAAAGGGCAGCAGTAACCTTAGATTGCTTCTATTTTGCACTGCCCTCATCTCTGGCAACTCTCAGGAGCTGCCTGCCGGCCCTCTTTGTATAACCAGAGGTTTTAGGGTCTCTCCTACTTCTTCCTAGTTATTTACAAATGTATTACTCTCAATAATAGCATGGTCATTTCTATTAGTTACTTTTCTACTTTAGTGTATGTGTGTACATGCAGTAATACCATAATTTTTTCACTCTTAGAATTATTCTGGTATTTTAAAAGCTCCCTAAATGGAAATGCAATTATTATATCCTTTAAATTTATTCCTATAGAAACAGTTTTATTTATATTGGTTACAGAAAAAAGAGTTGGATGGAGGCCATTTCTGGAGTGATATGGCTGTATAATATGAATATATATACACATACACACATGCTTTGTACAAAAATGAATTCATTTTGGGAGATCCAGAGAATTTCCTCAAAAGCTAAGTGGTTCTACTCCAAAGCAGCCAACATGACATAGAGTATGAAAAATGTCTTCAAAGTAAAATATAAATCTAAGGTCACAATAACAAATGGGGGCTTGCTGTGAAGCAAACGCTTCTTGTTGAAAACTCCATCTATACAACAGTCCATCTGGTTACCAGCCCCCCAGAACAAACAGGGTGACCCTACTAGTAAAAAGAAAAAAAAAGCAGTATCAGCATCTCTAAAAAGTTTACATTTTGTTTAAAAATGGGACACCTGGTTTGAGTAGCTCCATTTTAGTTACCAAATGTACCTGAATTTTATAAAATAATTGTTACAAAGCACCTTTGTAATTAAGAAAAATTTCAAGTGTTTCTAGACTGCATTGAAACAATGAAGATAAGGTTTCTGACTTTGTTCAACCAGTCTTTAGTCATAAATAAGGTAATTGTCCCTGATTCAAACCTATCATACCACCTCAAGATCAATGTTTTAGAGACTCAGTCAGGATTGTTTTGATTTTATAATTAAAGTGCTCATGTGAAAACCATACTAGTCACAGGCTGCTCTGCAACTATTACCACAGTTAGACTTACTGAAGGACAAAGATACCTCCTGAGCTGTTTAGTGTATCTGATCTGTTTCAGATGTACCATGAGTATGATTTTTACAAAAAAGCAGGCATGAAATTTTATAACAACTTGTGTCAAGCATCACAAACCCCTTATTAATGATGATTTCAAAATTTTCTAATGTAAGAGTAAAAGTTGTGACTTTCAAAGAGCTGAAAAGATAAACTCTATTTTCAACATTAGGACATTCATAGCTTGGTCCTCTGTGACAGAAAGAAAAGGTGCACACAGCTTGCGAATTTACCTTCTCTGCATTTCCAGCTCTTCTTGGGATGGGCCATTCTGAACTTGAGCAGGTAGTTGTGAATTCTGTCTAGGCAATGTTGGCCCTACAAGGGAGGGAAACATTAAAGGTGAACATTATCTTTCTATCTAGCTGGATAGAGGAAATAAAATCATGAGAATAACAGAAAACCATCACATATTTACAAATGCATCTTCTTTTGTCTAGCAAAATAAAATATAAGCTTTACGTAACACACAGCAAATGAAAGACTGCAACATAATCTGTCATCATCTCCAAAAGGCTTACTTCAAACAATGGAAACATCAACAATAAAGGAAAAACAAACATTTGCATATGAAGAGCTTGAGTAGAACAAGTGTTCAATGAGCATCTGAACAGGCACCTGAGCTTGGCATTTTCTAAGACAATGAGACATTCTCTTTGGGGTAATTATTCATGAGGTGGAGAGGGGAACTTAAATGAAAAACCAGAATTCAAAAACTCACCTAAATAGAACACTGGAAATGAAAAATAGGAGAGAGAGCATGAGAACCTCATTACTAGACTGAAGTAAGCTAAAGCATTTATCAAATTTGCCCAAATTAAGCTGCCATTTTGTTTAATGGCCTGGCATTTCCAACACTGGTGAAATAAGCATTTCTAAATTCCCATTTAATAAATTAACCTACTTATCTGAATTTTTATCAAATTCATTACATGTAACAGCAGTAATCTTAACAACTTTTCATTTGGGATAAGCAGGAAAGAAAACGTGCATTCACACCAACTTGGTGCTGTCCTGAGAAACTAATGACCATCCATTCACACATAATATGTGCAGTGCAGACCACTGTTAGCATCTCAGACACAATGCACTAGATTAAGGGAAATCTTAATGTCATAGGGTATAGCGATTAAATGATAGAAATGCTGGCCCTAATATAATATATGATTCCGAAGGTTAAACTAGAACAATCTTAAAATCTAATTCAGTAAATGAGAGTAAACAAATAACTATCTTCCACTCTTGGAGAGAACTATATGAGGAATATATATGTTTTCCTGAGTTCTAGTGTGCCAATAATGCCCCTAGCTAAAAGTCTGAAAGATTACTACAGACCACTAGTATAAAAAAGTCAGTAAATGCTTCTTCATATAAAGGAAATTACTGTGATCTATGAGCTAAGAGCACAGGAGTATTTTATGTGAGTGGAGTAAATCTCAAACCAGAAAAAGCTTCATCAGAATGTAATACACCACTGATACGTCCTAGGTATGGAGAATCAGAACTAATTTTATCTGAACTTATCTACTACTCACTTTTTCCTCACCTCTTTACAAGTATTTTTAGACTAATCATTTAATTCGTCCTCTAATGTCAAATTAGAAGACAATCACAGTGATATATTTCATTAGTTTCTAAAAGATCTATTTTGATAACCAAATAAATGAAATATAAAGATGTATTAACCCCATGTAATCAGTAACAAACAAAAAGCCAAAAACTTTTAAAATCAAAATTAAGTATACACAAATATTTGCATAAATGGACATATAACTATTGTCTAATAAATACACTAGAATGCTATCCTTAGCAAATTAACATAATGATGTAAAAAAGACTGCTATAATAGGCCATATACTAATGTTTAATATTTTACAGGAAAAGATATCTCTTCTGGCAGAAGGATGTGGCCATATGAGGGGGAAGGATGAGTTTGAGAAAGAACAAAAAATGTATTTTGGGGGGGGCATGTACTTTATTAAACTAGTAAATGCAGGTATTTGGTGCTGCCAACTTACAGACTCATTATGGTTTAACTACTTTAAAAACGTTTGTATAATTAAGTGAACACTTCAGATTGTACAAATTCTAGGACAGCTGAAAGTCAGTAGATTACTTATCTGACAAATACAATTGTCTTGCTCATGTCTAGAGTAGGCATTCGATCTCAACAACAGTTTTAGTGGATAAATTCAGTTGAAATTTGTTTTAACTCAAATATACAAATTCAAGAAAAAGGTGTCAAAATTTCAACCCAATCACACTTACTTTACTAAATACGTTTTTAAAAAAAACTGACAAGTCTGATGTTACTTAATAAACTAAATTAAGGAAACAGCAATTTACTGAACCTGTACTGAACTCTTTTAAACCTTTTTAGAAGCTTACTCTAAACCTATTTAAAGAGTTTTTAAAAAACTGGGTAATATTTTGTGGTTCATATCTTAATTTTAAAAATAATTTTCTACAGTTTATTCTTGGTCCATGAGAAGGAAAGAAAAACTTCAAGGAAGATTTTTTTTGAAACAGAGAATTTTGATCCAAGAACAACTCTTAAAAGTGTTTGCTACATGGTCTTTGTGATAATGGACCAACTGTCTTTCCAGACATTCTTTAAATGGGGAGGAGGGAAGGAATCCCTCCCTTCAGCATTTTCCACATTTGTGTTTAATCTGATTGGTTGTTCCTTCTTCATCAGTATTGTCAAATTGAGAAAACCAGCACATGGAGATTCACGTGCATTTAAAAATGATTATGAGCCAGTGCTGGTGGCTCATACCTGTAATCCCAGCTACTCAGGAGGCAGAGATCAGGAGGATCACAATTCAAAGCCAGCCCTGGCAAAATAGTTCGAGACTCTATCTCGAAAAAACCCTTCACAAAAATAGGACTGGTGGAGTGACTCAAGGTGAAGGCCCTGAGTTCAAACCCCAGTACCAAAAAAAAAAAAAAAAAAATTATGGAGATACAGCTCAAGTGGCAGAGCACCTGCTTTGCAAGTATGCAGCTCTGAGTTTAAACCCCAGTCTCACCAAAAAAAGGGAGAAAAAGCTTAAAAATGATAATAAACATACTGTAAGTATTAAATAAAAGCCCAAGTTCAATGATGGACTACAGGTGCACAATAACACTTTTCTGGGGCAAGCATTCTCCCGGGCTATAAAACTGGTAAGTGCCAGCGAAGGCACTGCACATGACCATAGGAAGCAGCAGCTGAGATGGGGCGTGGCTGTCAGCTGCAACCATATTTTCTGGAATGTACTTCTTCACACAGGTCATATTCTTAATTGGGTGCCTGTATTCTAAAATACAAAGTAAGTACTTTCATAACCACCGCGTGGGCAAATGACAGTATTTTAAGAGCAAAATGTGGTGGTTACCAGCTCTCTTTGAAGGTAAAGAAATGAGTGGTGCTGGTTTGTTCTACCATGTATTGGAAAGAACAGCAGCTGTCTGAGGGCTCACTCTCTCCACTAGGGCCCCAGAGCCAAAGACAATGGTGAGCCTAATTTGTCCTGGCTAGAAGATGTACAGCGAAGTGTGTGAACTACTGTTTCTAAGAAGGAAAGTGTGGCAGTGTTACTAACACAGCATTCTGTAAATGATGGAAATGTGATTAGAACCTCCCTCTAAAAGGAATGGCACTTTAGTCTTGCCTTCAATATTTAGTTTTGGTTAAAGCACCTACTGTCCCATTTTAATTTTCACAAGTCTAGTTTCACACTTAGCCACAGACTATTTAAAAACAGAGGACCAAGAGACAAGTAGGTGTTACTACACAAAACATCATCAAATTGAAGCTTAGCAAAGTGGTAATTACATTGTTTGTACACAAAGAAAAGGTAGTAATGGGGAAATCTGCTTTTTTAACCCATTATTTTATAAACTTAAAAAATTCACCTGTATTAATGAGGCCAATCTTATTCTCTGCAACTGGGTAATTATGCTGTATGTGGACATCAAATTTTTCAGCAGAAAATGACAACATGAGCAGGTGTTCAAAAAAGCCCTGACAACACAAATATGGATGCTCTGTCACGGCCACCTCAAAGATGTCTAGAAGAACCTCCAGGAGGAGGCAGGAAGCTCAGAAATACAGCTACTGATTAAATGCTTAACCTGTGATATTTAACTATGGAATCTGGGAGGGAGAGGAGAGTTATCAAAAGTCCACACAACAGGCCCACTGCTGTAACTGGAGCAAATCTAAACTATAACTTTAGGTGATTAAGAAATACACCAGAATTTTATCTTTTTAAACTCAACCAGTAAGTACATGAACTTAAAAATGATTCTCTTTAAAGAAACAGTACCAATAACACTGAGGAAACACATTAAAAATTCTTGAGTCATATGATGCATATACATAGATATAGTTAACACAAAATTTTTACAGTTATCACTTCACAGCTTTCTCATAAATTAGCTAGTCAAGGTATACATAAGTCAAAAGGGTACATGAATTAAAAAAAGAGCTCAAATAATTAAGCCACTTTTTGGAAGTTGGTTTTTCAAAATATGAAGTCTATATACCTATCTAGTCAAATGGATAATCTCCTTGTGCATGGATAGGAATATATCTGATTAGCTCTAACCTGGTATGGCTAAGTGACACACCTACTTTGTTCATGTAAATAATATGTGTATGTATATGAGTGAGCATGACAAAAAAAAAAAAAGAACATATTCTATAAGCCTAAATCCGCTCCTAAGCTACAGATATATAACATACCAAAAGAAGGAGACTGGGTCAGAAATCAACGCAAGCAGTAAGTTTACAGCTGCCTCTTACAACATGCACACCTAAATTTAATTCAAGTTAAGCAAAAACTCCTTTTGCATAAGGCAAACTTACATTAAAATGCATATAAATTTTCTTTTAAATTCTAAGTTAAAGCCTGCTCCCAAATAAAATAGTTTTAAAAAGGAACAAAGATCGCTCTCATTTGTGTTGGAAAAGATAAGCAAAAAGTTTTAAGACCCTAATTCTAATGAATTTCTCACTAACAAAGCAACTCAAAAGCTGACCCAAATCACCTACATGAACTACAAGTATCACAACATAAAAAAACAGGCGCTTGCTACACATCCCAAATGCCACAAACCAGACTATGGCCTAAGGAAACAAAAGTCATGGAAATGCGCAAGTTGTTATGCACCACAGCTTGAAAAAGAAATGTAAACAATGTTGCTTACCACAGAAAATACATCGCAAATTAGTGCTGTCCTGGGTAGCAGTAACCTTGCTCTGGGCTGCAACAGACACCTTGGTGTTAGAAGCTTCAAAGGACTCGGGGCCACTGAAGAACTTCACATTAACTAAAAGGTGCTTTGACATGATCAGAATGTGTTTACACATGCGTCCTATCTACATTCTCACTTTGGAAGTTCTGTAACTTAATAAAAACGTATCCTCTTTAACATAAACTCTTAAAAATAATTTGTATGTTATCTTATTTGTGGAAACCCCTGGAATAAGCCACAGATTAAATGATGCATTTATAACTCCCGTATTTTCCTGGGTCATACAATCAGAGTGCAGTCTGTATTTAGGCTGTGTTTAAAACGTTAAGGAAGATAAGGTACATGGAGTTAAGATCTGTGGTCATTAGAATTAACTTCATGAGGTCTAGCCTCCCATTTAGGAAAACTGCATCTGAAAAAAACTTAGGGGAAATACTTAAGAATAAATCCACATTAGATTAACTCATTTCTACCACTTGAAAAAAACCAAGGTCATTATAGACAGCCCACTGCAATTAAAGAGTTGCGGTATATAGTTATAAATAAAATACCTTTGCTTGCTTTGTACTTTGAAAATCAAGCACATTTTACTGCTTTTTTCTCAATATGCATATATACTTGAAAAAATATCACATCAAACAGCATTTAATTTAAGCTCTTTACATCAAAATTTAGCTTAAGTGTCCATGAAGTAAATTCTTTTTAGGAGGAAAAATTCATAAAGATGAAAATTTATGAAAAGGGAAACGCATTATTCAACATCAAGGTGTTACTCAAAATTGGGATGGAAAATCAAAAGTAAAATATATTTTAGTATTACATTGCTAACCCCCAAAACTTTACATCATAATTTTCTATCAAATTCTAAAGAAATTCTTTCCAGCATGGGAAAAAAGTTCTTTTTCCATCAGTACGAAACCAAGAAATAGTGGGTTAAAAACATACCAACTTACAGAAGATCACACAAAGACAACGACAGTATTTTAGATTTCCCTAAAACTATATTCTTTAAATAATACAAGTCCTGGTAAATAAAAAAAAAGTTTCAGTAGAGTCAGAAAGAAACCAACTTATAGTTAAAGAATGCATATCTTAACATAGTATTAAGTCACAACTATAAAGAGAATTTTTCATCACTTTTAGAATAACATAATCCAGTGAAGTTTAGGTCTTAACAATACAGCAGACATTTGCAAACAAGCAAGGTAAGTAAGAGTGATAAATGTCACCTCTGCTAAGTACTTCCAACCACCCTCACTGCTATATTAAAATTGCATGCACAACATTCACAATCATAACAAAGTTGGAGTAAGACCATGGGCATATACAAATGTAATGTGTACCAAGCTAATGAGATCATTTCAAAGGAGATAAACAATTTAGAAAATTTTCAAGAATTACATTTTAAGTTAGAACTGCTTTAAAAAAAATCTCTTACCAATGTTTATAAATGGCTATTTCTACAAAACCTTCATTGATCAACATGTCTAATTTTCAGATTTCACCCTTAAGTCTTTACATCCATATTTAAGGGAAAACCACGTAACGACAATTAAAAAAAAAAAAAAAAAACTTACAAGGAAACCCTGACAAGGTGCCTAGTTTCTGACAGAAGAAAGAGCCACACCCCATTCCCAATCATTTCAGCAGAAGTCAGCTGACAACTGCCAGAATGACCACAGACATCACACGATCACTGTGTCAGATAAGACTTTCCAACCAAGAACACCAATCTTCCTCACAATTCAAACTGTTGAGCAACATTCGTGCACTTGGTATCTTAAGCGTCTTCTTCCCACTGACTGTTACTTCAGATTATCAAGTAAAATGCTGATGTACTTTCTCACAGGCTGCAACTTGCATTTCTAGCACAGGCATGCCACCAGCAGCGCTTTCTGCTCAGCTCTGAAACCCTAATTCCTTCTCCAGTCATGGTGAAGGCAGAATATGCAGCAGATCCACTGCCAGGGTGGGTGGATTCAGTAAAACAGTTTCAGCATAGTTTTAAGACTAGTACTTACATATGAAAGGATATTTCTTTTTTAAGTTAGCCATACTGGAGAGGCTGACAGAAATAAGAGTGAGTCACATATTAATATAAAACTTAACATCTGATATTGTACTTTTAGAGAAGAACAATGACTGTCTCCATCAACTATGATGACCTTAAAAGTTTCGTCATGGATGTTCATTTATCTCTAATGCAGTTTGTGAAACAGTCACCTTTCAGGTTTTGCCTTGTCTTTAACATCCTTTACATGAGGTGTTTATTTTGAGCAGTGAAAAGCAGAAGCCTTGGACGAAGTATTTGTAGTGGATTTCATGTCTAGGTCACTATATTTAGTTACTATAGGAGACCTTTGCATCTCAGGGTCTGTTCTATCAGCAGTGAGTCCCAAGGCAATTGTAATGGGGACACTGCCATCTGAGGATTAAGTGAGATGTTTGCTTAAATGCTGGGTTGGATTTGGGGTGCACTCTTTGGAAAGCTGGTCTGTGGGGTGACTCATTCGAAGTAGCAGTTCACACTTGTACAGGGCACAGAGAGGGAGCAAGTGCAAAGGTGACTGTGTTTGCTCTAAGGTTTCTGGAATAGAAAGCACTGCAGAAGTAGGGTCAGCTGCACTTAACAGAACAAGTAACAAGAGCTGAGACATGGAAGTTCACCCAGTACTCCCCCCAAAAAACAAGTATCAGATTGCAGTGCACTATGCTTGGAGACATGAGAATTACAAACAGTAAGTTTTACTCAGACCACGATTTTCAAATTGTGTTTTGAAACGTGTATGATTTTTAATAAAAGAGAATTTTCTTCTATGTCAGGAAAAGAAGCATCACGTAGTAACAGTCACACACTTTTTTTGTTTTTTCGGTACTGGGGCTTGAACTCAGGGCCTTCACCTTGAGACACTCCACCAGCCCCTTTTTTGTAATGGTTTTTTCAGGATAAGGTCTCATAAATTATTTGCCCGGGTTGGTTTGAACTGCGATCGTCTGATCACTGCCTCCTGAGTAGCTAGGATTATAGGCGTGAGCCACCAGGACCCGGCTAGAACTTATAATTTTTTTTACTCCATCTTAGACGAAACTGCCCCTGTATTGGGCTTTTCCCCTCCTTTGTTTCTGCTAATCCTCGTCCAACTTGTGGCCTCAGCGAATTTTGTCCCCTTTTAAGTAAACATGAAAGGATGGCTGAGGATAGAAAAACTGCAGATGGTTGTTAGGCTGCATGGGCAATAGTGTTCGCATCTCGGCCCACTGTTCCGAAGCCATTCGTTTTCACCTGCGGAATGAATGATGCTGCTTCTAGCTAAAGAAACGTCAGGAGGCAGCAAGCAGTTGAGGGGCTATCGTTTACATCAGCCCTGTCGTATCTGATCAGTCCTAAAGGCAGGTGTTAACTGTACTCGCACATTCACTTCTCTGGCTTCTCTTCCTGAGCACAGATCAGGGCCTGCTCTCAAATCACTTTCCGTGTCTGCCTGCCCTTTGTCACTGAAGGCATTATCAAGTATAACTCAGAAAACACCACATTCAGTAGAATGCTACTTAGCTTGTTAACTCTACCTGCAGTGCCTATTCAGTTACACAAACTAGGAATACAGGACCCCCTGCACCTCTTTCTCCCCCTCCACCACCTAACCAATTTCCAAGTCCTGTCAACGCAGTCTCCCCTTTTCCTCTCCTGCCTCCACTGGCACTGCATGGAGTGTAGTGTTCCATGGCCTCTTATACAATATTTTAAATATTTTTAGTACTTTATTTCAATCTGAGCCTTACATTGTTTTACTTTAAGATTTCTCTACATTAAATGTTAGCCTTTAATTACCTACCCTTTAAAAATGAAAACAGCAGCATTAGTGCCTTTTTCTGAGTTTAAAAGCAAAATAAAATATGAGAGGGGCACCTTCAATATCAGCAAGAGCCTAGAAGGAAACACAATATAAAGCCCACACCAACTGTAGAGCAAAGGTCTTTCCCATTTCTCATGTAATTGCAGAATTATTACTTTACACTGCCTATTTAGCAAAAGGCAAAAGATTTATGTGGTATAAAAAAAACTAACCATCTATTTAGAGCCAGCTGCCTGCCTCACTAGTGAAAGGTCTGATCTGTGCCAGTTTCCATTACTAGCAACTACCATAGTTTGGAACATAGAAGGTGATGGACAAACTTGTTTAAACTGTCTTTTTTTATGGAACTGATTCAACTTTTAAGTAAGAACTTTCTGAAGGTTCACTATGTGCTGGTTGTATTCTCAATGTTCAGGTGGGTTGATGGAGAGAAAGAGAATAAACATAAGAATGAATTAATCTGTACACAACTTGATAGTAAGGAGCAGGAGAAATGTACAAGAACAAAAATGTTAAAACAAAAATCTGAAAAATAGGGCTGGGGGCATGGCTCAAGTGGTAGACAGCCTATCTAAGCAAGCATGAGGTCCTGAATTCAAATTCCAGTAACTCAATGAACAAATAAAATAAATAAAATGTCCATCATTTAAAAACTTAAAAGATTCTGGGAAATAAAATCTTTTAAAAATAATCTGTATGTATGAAGATAAAAAAGAAAGGGTTCCTATAAAGCCTGAGTAATAATGTCAGGAGAACTAACCCAGAAAATCTAAATTTGAAGTTTTTAATGGACTACAAAGTTGAGATCCTATGAGCTGCCAGGAAAACAATATGGTTAAAAGAAAGAAGAAGCCTGTTTCACAGCTGCTTCCAGAATGAAGGAAACCAGGTAGAGTGAGGTCAAAGGGGGGACCATCTGCCCACCTCCTGCAACCACTTAACATGAACTTGCTTCAAGCAAGCCAACACTCAGCGAAGTGGCTATGGGAACCACGCAACCAATGGCCACTCACAAGAAGACAGGCGTGCAGGAAATGCTGCTGGAATGTTCTCAATGACACCAACTCAAGATCACTGCTGGGCTATTGACAATGTGGAAACAGCAGAGTCCCCAAAACCTTTTTCTTGCCAGGGATATGAAACTTGAAAATAAAA